TTTTTTCAGATGTCAGTAGAGGTTTTTTTTTGTTTGGAAAAAACACAGCACTGGGAGGAGATCTTGGGTTCTGGTCAATAGTTGTTGGACAGGTCATTAACTCTTGCTGTGAGTAATTAGAAAAAAAATGTGGGGGCAGGGGGATAATGCCTTTTCTGCCAAATAAAAATTGTTATGAGGCTCAAGTTTGACAATGTATGTAAAGTCTTCTGAAAACTGACAGTGACAGTGGCAATACATGTGTGACAACTTCAATGGAAAATTCAAAGAGCTGAAATTCCTGATTCAACTGTATCATCTATCTTCTGTTCAGGGCTTGACCAACAGGCATCCAAGAATTAGCTGTTGAAGAAGCAAATGTGTACACACACAACACACACACATCCACACACACAATTTAAGTGTTAAAATTATTAAGGGTCCTAAATTATAAAAATATATTTAGGAAAGTAGTCTATTCTAGTTCTTGATATGTAAATAGAATTAGTCATCATTTGTATCCAGTTGTCAAAAAACAATTGAAAAAATTCAGTTCTCCCTCCATGCATACATAGGAATCTTCTCTCCCCTATCAGTTCATTTACATTTTTACTAGTTTCACTCACTCATTCACAATCAGCACTTGTGATAGCCTAGTTTTAAAGGGGTCTGAATGTAGGCCATGTTCTACAAGAGCCATTTACTTTTAGTTGTGTATAAGGTTGAGAAAATTGAAGTCTTTTCAGAATTAGGATTTAATAATTATTAAATTTGTTACCTAGTGAGCGAGAATGTCACCAGGTAAACAGCTGGGAATCAGCATTACAAGGCAGGATCTTGCCACTAGAGTGTGTGAGGTTTCATGTGTATTTTTTGGAACTCCTCATCTCACCCTATCCTCCATTTCCTTTCCAGTTTTACACAAAAGAGATGTGACATGGAGGGGAGTAGAAGACACATAAGCTTTTCCTCCATTGTCTCTTGTTCACTCCCCTCACCTGTTTTTATTTAGTTTGGGTTTCTGTTGTTTGCGTTTACTTTAAATCTTAGGCCCAGGAAACAAACTTCTCAAGTCAGATAGGATCAATTTTTCAATATAAGGATAAAAATTGCTTATAGTCCACCACCAGGGATTTTTCACTGACACCTTTCCCTCTCACTGAAATTCCAGATTCAAGGGTCCCAGACTCCCTTGGGTCCTCTCATTTGTAGACTGAGGAACTCTGAATTTCCCCAGGAAACAGGCAAGGCAGTGGACATTTGTACAATTTGAGTTTCATGAGAGGTAGCTCCACTTCCCTAGCAAAGAGCCTTCTTTACTATAAATTCATCCTTAGTATCATCCATGAGACTTTCTGTATCAAATCACACACATCGAGTTAAGAGAAGATCATTTTCTTACACTATTAGAAACGGAGAATGAATTTACTGTTAGGATCTATTTTGGAAAAAAAAAGTTAGAGCCATTTGTACTTTAAATTGACAAAATGGCAGACTGCAGCTTCCAGAAGACAATGTCACATTTCTGGAGATGGCCTCGTGAACCTTGTTTACAGAAAAGGATGTGTCCAAGAGCTTACCAAGAGAGAGCTGATCTTCAAAATACCCAGGGGAGACCCCATCATATTATATTCAGCACCACATACACACATGCATGGGAAGGGTTGACCAGACCATATCATTCCCCTGCCCAGGGCTGTCTCTCTTTAAGAAAGGAACACACATGGCAGAGAACAGACCAAGTCCAAGGCCTTTTCCATATTCTAATATTCTTAATTTGAGGTGCAAGAGTGACAGGTCTGTGCTTGACCACAAGGAACTCTAAAGATAAATATAATAACCCTAAAGTCATGTTTGGAAGAAAAATCTACCTTCACTTTACAGGCTTGCAGGATCTGCAACAACTGTAGTATAACAGTCTGTCGCAAGTGTATTGGATGTTTCAGTTTGCCAGACCTGTCATGATAAATTAATTACAGGATGTTGCAGAAATGGCAAAGCTCCAGCAGCATCTTGCATAGTTTAATATAGACCCATTTCCCCATTTCAATGTATTTGTGGTTAGATAAATCCTCAAAAATTTACAGCTGTTATAGACTAGTTTATTATGCAGTCTGCCTGCACACATGATAAGTATAATAAGAATGTGATGTTCTTAAAGTGCATAGATTTTACTGATATCTCTTTACCACCATGGAAATATTTAGTTGCTAAAAGTAGCATCTGCAGATACTTCTGAACATTAACTTCGATGTAACAGGCAGGGCTGGTTAAAAACATTATCAAACTTGACTATCTTTCATTTATCTTAAATTAAGAGAATTATAGCTCAGAAAAAAGTATGCAGAACATTTACATAGAATGGTCTTGTGAACAAATTTAATGGGAAAAACAATATTTCTCAGCTGAAAAACCAAACTGAATCTTACCAAGCTTTTCTCCTGGAAACCTTCTTTTAGTCTCATGACAATTTTTGCAAGCTTCAGTTGCTTTTTTGCTCTGGCAACGGTGTATTTTCCTCAAATTCTTGCTTTTTCCTCTTTTTGTGCTTTTATTATTTTCGGTAAGCAAACCATCTCTATCCCAAACAATTTTAAAGAACCATCCTTTGACTGATAACAAATGAGTTTATGTATATAAATGTTGTATAGACCAATCTTAAATATTCTTGTTTTCTTGTTTCATCGTTCTTAACAAGACTCCAGTGATGATTTAAGAAGATATGAACTCCAGTAAATATGTATCAGATTGTTTATTACTTTTAGAAATTAGGCTGAAGTATGTAGTTAGACCATTTTGATCTAAGTGAAAAAGGGAGAACATGAGCTATGTATGATGTGGTAAATACAGATCATTATTTGTATTTTTTTTTTCCAGACAGGAGAAAAAAAAATTGTAGATTCTTAACAGTACTAGCTTCCCCAACTTTTTGAGACAAAACTCATCCATAACCAGTATGAACTGGAGGTGTTAGAAGAGCAACTTTAGAAGACAGGGCGCTTACAACATATGTTTAATGTAGATTTGAAGGGGATCATTAGAAAAATAGCATTCTTTGTGTTTACAAAACAAATGTTTTTATGTTATCCAGTTCCCGCCTTAGCTTAAAGTATTTCCTATTCACCTTAATAATTAGAGCAGAAGGATATGATGAATGAAGTGCCTCATTACCAAGTTTGCTTCCCGGGTCTACGCAGAGAGTAGCTGTCTGCGTCTGCCCAGTTAGCCCATTGTTAAGCCTAAATGATGCTGACGTTCAATTCTCTTGCAGATAATTGGGTCCATCCATAGATGGAGTTCTCCAGTCAACACAGCCTTTTGATTGACATGCTTCTTGATGTTTTTATTATCTCTTATATGACAGGAATGGCGCCTTTTCTGTTTTTTGAAAAAAGTGTTACTGTACATGTAATTAGTTTGATTCTATAGAAACTATTTCTTAAGACACAAGAACTATATTATGGAATAAAGACATCAAAATAATTATGAGATAAACAAATGATCAGTCTAAAAAACAATTTTTCACTCAGACATACTTCCTTTTTTTAGGTGGTTGTTGCATTACAAACGTATTACATGTTTCTTTCTAGTCTCTGAGTGGATTGATTTTTTTAGTTACTCTTGTGAATGCAGTAGTCACCAATGACAAGCATTTACTGGCTTTGCTATCCATAGTAACTGAGATCCAGTGCTTCAGAAATCTCCAGTGGAGTCTGAAAAACCTGCATTTATAGCTGGCAATGATATTTACAGACCATGAGCACTTGGATAAGCTACTTAACCTTCAGGGTCTTGGTTTCCTTATTTGCAGATTAAGGAAGATTTTATTTACTTCACAGATTTGACGTGAAGAGTACTGTACATGAGGCTATGTGCAAAAGCAAAGTGAAGATTTTGGGAATATTTTCTACAGTTAATTTCAATTAAGTAAAAATTGAAATACACAGAACTTAAAATCTAGATTGTTTAAAAATATGTCCATAACTTACTTAATATATATGGCCCTCAGATGAAAACAATTTCAATATATATAAAAGTATAAGGTCACTAATTTTTGTTACAGCTTCTAAACTTTTTTACTTTATGGATATTTGTGGTTTAAATATTTAGTGACATGTCATATAAAGCTGTATAACAAAAAGTTATTTTGCAGATATAATCTTACTGAATTTCCTAAAAGGAAAATGTCTTCCTTTAATAAAAATTTCCATAACTTATGCATAAAATTAAGGTTAAGTATTTGCTTTTATGTGACAGAAATCTTGCAAAAGATTTTAAAAATATCAAGTGTTAACTATTAATTTGATTAATAGTTTTAATAGATTTGTGCATTTTAAACATAAATTTGCATTTGTGGTGTAAAATAGTTTATGTTTTAAACCTTTTGAAAACAATTTTTATTCTAGCTTTACAAGTTCTCTTTACAGTATAATTTTTGATACTGAAAAAACCTTAATATTTTCAAGATAAATTTGAATCAGTAGTTAGGGAATACATTCATATGAATGGTTAAAAATTATTTAGATATAGAAGATAATGGAAAACTGTTGCTTAAAGAAAAGAGATGACATGGGATAAAACTGAATAATTTCAGAATAAAGATATAATAAAGGAAGCCAATTAGTTGCTAAGGAAATGTATAGTGTCATAAATCACAAAATAGATTCTGGTGTCTCATCTATTTATTACTGTTATCTCCTATACCCCATCTCATCTCAGAGGATATGAAAAGATGTCTCACTAAACTATTCTATTCATAAATATAGCGATAATATTATATCATCAGAAGGACAAAGTAGAAAAGGACTGGTCATTGAGTAGAACCAATTTCTCGTCTCATCTGTTAGTTTTAATTCATTTTTTTTTCACGTGAACACCAAGATATTAACAAATGCTTCACTTCCCCTGATATATTTTTTCATTTGTCTTGATTTAAAGTAATTCTACTACCTGTTGAAATAATTTTTAATTAATTGAAAACCAAAATCAGAGATGCACATCTCAAAATCATGAGCTGAAACTGCAGAGAGACAAACATCTTTATTTTTAAATTATCAAGTGCATTCATAAGACAGAAAAAAACAAGCTTGTACAAGGGTGACTCAAGTTGCCCAGGCCCAGCTGTATGCGTCCAGAACAACGAAAGTTTGGCACGATCAGAACAGAACTCTGTGTTGATGGCTGAGGGCTTCAGCTGGCATCAGTGCTGCTCTTTTAAAACACATCTTTTAATTTTTTCTCAAAAAAAAAAAAAAAAAAAAAAGAAGTCTCACAGCAGGGTCATGTTTACCAATTTTTATGCTTCTACAACATGTGCAGGGATAGAGCCAAATATATTTTTACTAGAAATTTCACACTGGGTATACATCTGGGCAAAATTTATACCTCAATGCCCAGAACTTTTTCTCACTTCTTATTTTAATGGAATCAATTGTCTAATTTGGTAAATAAGTTTTCTAATGTTATATTAGTTTTGATCTTATTGGGGCTAAATATTTTATTAATAGACAGCATATAATTGAGAAAGAGTAGTCAAGAACAAAAAATTGAATTTTCCTATTATACCAAACTTCAAAAAATATAGTCATATAGTAATGACATTGTTATTGTGGAACTAAAAAATAAATAATGCAATATAATAATTAAAAAACAAATATTAAAAATAAATAACAAATAATATAAATATATAAATTACTTATATTCTTAAATATGAACTGCCTTTTTTAAAAAATAAAAACATTTAGAACACTGTTGTCAGTCCAGCCCAAAATCACTTTTAGATTAGGTGTATCAAGTTACATATACGATTCACTGAAAAGAAACACAAATGTTTAATTCTAAAAAGCAGACTTCCTTTTAATGCCTTTGTTACTAGGACCATTTTGAACACACAATATTCTGAAGCTGCTTATCTTTTAAATAAAGTTAGTTTTAAAAGCAGATACTTCATATTTTGAGCATAACATCACACATATAACCACAATACAGATACAATAATATTGAATGATTACTTAATGGATATTCTAACAATGCAAACACTTTTTATTCACGTTTGCTGCGTAGCAATTACATTTTTTTCTTTATTGGTTTTCCAACAGTGGTAATGCAATTTTGATGTAGTTACTGATAATACAAGTACTAATACTTTGACCAACAACGATTACAACAATAGTTTGTAACAATTAAGCTCAAAGACCACATTGATTTCTCCACCCACCTCTCTTCTGATTTTTCATAAGGATAAGAAGTAGTGTATTCTTCCTTTCTTCCCTTTTATCTGAAAATCTGATCTCTAAAGAAGAATTCCACTTGATTTAATTTGTCATTTCATTTCTGTGTATTTAGTTGTGTCTTCATTCTTCTTCATCTCTTTACTAAGAAGAAAAGTACACAAAAAGTACTAAATGTGTCTTTGGTCACAACATATGTTAGTGTGCCCAGGCAACAGCACAAGTAAGAAAAAGACATTGTACAACATACACACACACACACACACATACACAACCAAATAAAATGAAAATATTAGTTACCTATCTTATAGCTTGTCTCTCTAACATACTGTTTCATTGTGTCATTAACAATTTAAGGCTTGTTTAAGCATTGAGAAGATAAGTGAAAAGAAACTTCTCATCTAGAGACTGGAAGAAATAAAAACTCTGGGTAACTTTCAGAAGTTTAGGGCAGACAATTAGAGTATGTAAAGTTTTTCCTTCAATGAGGAAAAAAAAATCATCATGGATGTTACTTCAGTGTTGGTGATTAGCAAAGATACAGACCGCTTCATTAATAGCATGCTTTCATTTAGTCTATGGCTGTGTCTATTTTTATAATTGAGTTAATTATTATTTTTCAAAATTAATTTAAAAACTGATTTCATTTTTGACCTAAGGCAGCTTTGCTATAAAACAAATTATACCATTAATAAAATCAAGAACCAGTATGCAGATGAGACAAGAGGCTGCTTCCTTAGGGATCACATGGTAGGTGCTCTACAAGTAAGGCACAGTCAATGAGTGGGCTGAACCTGAACTTTTTAATGTAATTAACCATATAGCACTATGGAACATCTGTCTTTCCTCTAAGCAGAGAGGCCATAACTTGATGCCCCTTAGAAATAACCTAGCTGAAGCTTGGAATGAGGGTAAGACGGTGAAGGTGACTGAACTCCATTGAACATTCCCGAGAAAGGCCATGACTGGCACATGTGTAAGAAAGGGCAGAGGGAACCATTCCCTAAGTGTTCTCCCTGGGGCTCAGGCAGGTCAGTGAACATCTGTGCTTTTAGGAACAAGTCCAATCTTATGTAAATGGTGACATTATTTTTTTTTGTATGCAAGAAAAATTATATAAAGAGAAAAAAATTATTTATTAGTACAAGTTTCCTGATTTTAACTTTGTTAAATGGAGCTATACAGCTTGTATTACATATGGAAGCCCAAAAATATGTTCAAGAGAAGCTCATAAAAGCATCTGAAGCTAAGTATAAAAAGGTACAGATATGGCATGACAAGATACAATATCACTAGGGGCCAAAATGTATCATAAACTTCCCTTTTCATATATATTAAGGAAAAGTATGTGAAACTTGCCCCAAGTTAGGGTTTGATAAAAGTGGAAAAAAAAAAGTACTAAAAGCTCAAATTAGTGCAGGGCACAAGTTACATAGAGACCCTAAAAACTTCCGAAAAGGATAGAGGAAGATAAAAGGATATTAGAGGAAGAATGTTACAAAACAAAATGAGGAGTTCATGGTAATGGTAGGAGAAAAAGGAAGAAGAAAAACAGAAAAGGGAAAGGGAGACAAGGGGAGATGAACAGCTGGAAATTAGTGAGATGGATCCTGCAGGTGCAGACGATGTAGGACAAGTTAAATGAATCAGGTGGAGACTGCACTGTGAGAAATAAACAAAGAAGCCAGGAGGACCCTCGGGAGGGGGAACCAAAAAGAAATTTCAGCAGAAAAAGCTGAAGTAGGCAGCAAAGGAAACATCTTTAAGAGAAATGATTTAGACTAAGAAGAGGAACAAACACATTGGATAGAAAATGACAAAGACTGTCCATGAGAGGAAGAAAAGGGACAGGATAAAGGAAAAAGAGCAGAGATGGTCAAGTGTGCACCTCTGACCACTGAAAAGCAAGAGTGGTGCTTGGCATGACATATGCTGACAGCACAGCCACCTTCCAGCTGTAAGATAGCAAGGGTTTGCTTAAGATGGTAGAGAGATCATCTGACCTAAACAAAACAAAAAATCCAGGTCCCTCCCTTCTCTGAGGCACAAAGTACCACAGCTAACAAAGGAAGAGAGTTAACAAAGCAAGGCATTTTAAAAGGCACTTCAGATGAAAAGAAAAAGGAAATCTATGTAGCAAGACTATGAAAATGAATATGAAACTAGGTTGTGTGTGTGTGTGTGTGTGTGTGTGTGTGGTGTAAAAAATAAGATTCAGAACAATCCTGGGCTCTATCCCATAAGAAATTCAATACAATATATATTCCCTGAAGGTGTGCTTCTATGGCCAGACACCATGGTAGGTGCTGAGAGAAAAAGTGTGAGTGTGTTATGGCCTTTGCCCATAAGCACTGTGACCACTTGCAGAGGTAACAGACAAACAAATCACCCTGAACTTGGAGCCAGGAGACCTTATTCTAGTTAAGGTACTAGTGCTTGTGACTGAGACTTTGGTGTCTTAAGTGTAGAAAGAAGAGACTGCATTAAAGAATTTCTGAAATTACTTTCGTTTTCAAAGAAATGATCAACTACTATGTATATATGAGAGAAAAATAAGAAAATACATAAATGAAGAAGAAATCACCACAATCTCACTACTCAGATAACTAACATCTTTTGATGTATATTTTTCAGTATTTTATGTATATAACATATAAAAACTATTTTATACTCATCTTTTAAACTTAAAAATCTTATTATACTCATCTTTCCATGTCCATAAGATACTTCCATAACATATTCCCCAAAGGTGTGTTTCTGTGGCCAGACACCATGGTAGGTGCTGGGAGAAAAAGTGTGAGTGTGTTATGGTCTCTAACATTTAAACATATTATAATTTAATCGACCCTTTATTCATGAAAGTTGAGTTTTTTTCCTTCTGTTTTTAAAATATCTTTTCTGATTTTTATCACCTTTAACCAAATCTTTACATTTGTACTTGAGTATCTTCCTATAGTAGACTCCTTAAAGTAAAACTGTCAGGTTAAAGTACATAAACTTTTCGTTTGTTTTGAGTTGGAGTCATGCTATGGTTGAGCAGGCTGCCCTCAAATGATCTTCCTGCCTCAGTTTCCCCAGTAATTTGGGACCACAGGCATTAAGTACTGTGCCTGGCTACGTACAGATTTTGAAAACTTTTTATTAAAAAACATAACAGGGGCTGGGGCTCAGCAATAGAGTGCTTACCTAGCATGTGTGAAGCCCTGGGTTCGATCCTTAGTACCACATAAAAATAAATAAATAAAATTAAGGTACTATGTCCATCTACAACTAAAAAAAAGTATTAAAAAAAAAAGAAGAAGAATTTATCCTTCACAAAGAACAAGTCAATCTCATCCTATTACCAACAGTACAACAGGATATCCACTCTCCCATATTTTCATCACTACTAAATTCTAAGTTTTGAATTATCATTTTGTGAGGGGGAAAAATATACTTTTATTGTTTTAATTTCCAATAAATTTAATCACTGGAATGCAAACATTTTTCATGTTTATTGCCACGTATTCCTTTGTCCTATGTACATCCTTTGACAATTTTTCTACGGATGCATTTCTTTTCCTTAGTATCTTAGAGCTTTCTGTGTGTTATGGGTATGAATCTTTTAGGTAGAATCCTTCTCCATTCAAGGTGTTGTTTATTTAAACATTTTATGGCCTTTTTTCTTTTTAAAATGCCTAATTTTAAAGTTCCTATTACTTAAACTTAAAAATCAGCTTAAAATTGTGTCTTAGCTGGGGAGAGAGGCATATGTCTATAGTCCTACTTACTTAAGAAGCTGAGGCAGGATGATCACTTACCTTCAGGAGTTTTGAGGCCTACCTTCGCAACAGAGTGAGGACCCATCTCAACATTGTCTAATTCTGGCATAAATGTTGAAGAATTACTCCTTAACCCATAATTACACAACTATTCATCTATATGCTTCCTGTACAATTAGATTTTATTTTTTTTTACAATTAAAATATTTTGAGTCCAGGGGTGCTAGACCACCAAGCAACATCCTCAGCCCTTTTTGTTTTTTGAGATAGGGTCTTGCTAAGTTGCCCAGGCTGTCTGTGAACTTCAGATTCTCCTGCCTTAGCCTCCAGGGTAGCTGGGATTATGGTCATATGGGGACTACAAACGAAATTTAAAAACAGTTAATGGAGTTGAGCTGATTGCTGCCAGCTACTCAGGAGGCTGAGTCAGGAGGATCAGATTTGAGGCTAGCCTGGACAACTTAGTGAGACTCTGTCTCAAAAAAAAAAAAAAAAAAAGGGCTGGGGATGTAGCTCAGTGATTAGAATCCATATGGAAAACAGAGTAGAATATGTTCAATCTCCAGTACCATACATATACAAAAAGAGAGAGAGAAAAAAAGAATCCATATGGAAAATATGAATCCAGTTTTAGGAAAGTGAAAAAAAATCATACATGTGAACATAAATAGAGAGCTGTAACATTTCATTTTCAACAGACCGATTTTTTTTTTTTTTTTTTTTGGTATAGGGGATTGAAACTGGGGCACTTTACCACTGAGCTATATCCCAAGCCCTCTTAATTTTTTATTTTAAGGTGGCCTCACTAAATTGCTTAGGGCCAGGCTAAATTGCCCAGGTTGGACTCAAAACTGTGCTCCTCCTGCTTTAACCTTCTGAATTGTTGGGATTACAGGCATGGGCCACTGAGCCCAGGAAGACCAATTTCTCTTCTTCCTAAAGAGAAAATAAAGCCTTCTGATAGGACTATTCCCAAGTACTCCCTACCAGAAAATGTCATTCAAACACATTTCTCCACTCTCCCATCTCAGAAGCAAAAGCAATTCCGTAATTCCTTAGGACCCAGAGTTTATGCCCAGGCTCCCAAACCTTGAAGGGTTCCTCCTCAGGTGGTACTGTTCTCTGGGTTTGTGAATGTTCTTGTCATTCCCCTCTTTATAAGGATCTTCTCTATACTCAGTGCTTCCTACTATTTAGTTCAATCTTTCCTTTGTCTGGAGTTTTGGAAAGTAAGGCTATTCTGACAGCCTTTTCCTTTGAGGCTAAGGATACCTGATTTATGCTTCCAGGACCCTCCATCAAAACTATCTTCTCCAGCTGGGTGTGGTATCACATGCCTGTAATCCCAGTGACTCAGAAAGATCCAAAGTTCAAGGACAACCTCAGTAAGTAAGTGAGGCCTTAAGCAACTTAGCAAGACCCTATCTCAAAATAAAAAAAAAATAAAAAGGGCTGGGGACATGACGCAGTGGCTAAGTGCCCTTTGGTTGAACCCCCAGTAATAAACAAACAAAAAACTAAACCAAAAAACCCAACTATCTTCTCCAAGGCCACAAATGGACTGTGGGCTATGAATTCCAAAGGGCATTTGTCAGTCCTTCTGTCACCTCTCCTCTTCCTGGCATTTATCATTTTTGACCATATCCTTCCTAAGACTTTCCCTATTCACTGTACAACACAATCTTTTCCTGGTTTTCTTACCTCTATTAGGGTGACTTTTCGGCTTGTTTGCTCATTCTTCTTCACCTGCAAGTCTGTTTTGTGTCCTCGGTCCTCACGGCTTTGTTCTTTGCCCATTTCAGAACTACAGGAATGAAAGACAGGGAACAAGGAGCAGTAAGAAAAGCGTTGTCATAGTTCAGAGGAGGCTTTGATCTGGTGAAGTGACAGTGGGAATAAAAAGGGGGATAAATGGGACGATCTGAGTGAGAAAACCGTTTGGTAGAACTGTAAGAGAAATTATCTGTGGAAGACAGAGAGAAAGAATTACCTCTTTTCTTAACCTCCATGAGGGATAAGAATAAAACAAATTTCATCGCTTCTCTGAAAAAACATTAGATGCCTGGGAAACTCAAAAAGTTTTATCAACTTAGATGGAAATACACATATAAACACAGAATATTCTTCAAAGGCAGAAAAAAGAGAATGAAGTTTGTGCATATGAAAGCTGTAACATCCTGACCTGTGGAATGGCAATGGAGCCTTTCAAATAACCCAATGGTAATATTCACAAAGTTATAAAACCACGTAACTGTAGCTATGTGGGAATACGTAGCGGTGCAATTTATGTTAGGAAAAAGAACATAAAAACAATGAAATAAGAGAAACTGAAAAAAGAAGACCACATATTTTCTGTAGAATGTCCAGGAATGATGGGAAACACCCAGGTAGAGCTTAAAGAAGATGCAAGAATTTAAAAATCTGGTAATTAGTAGGACTGAACAGGGAGGGATCTTATGGACAAAACTGTATTTCTTCAAAATTCATGTTAAAGCCCTAACCCCTCTTGTGACTAATTGAAAACAGGGTCTCTTAGGGAGGTAATTAAGGTTGGTAAGGTCATGAGGGTGGGGCCCTAACCCAATATAACCGGTCTTTATTTTTTAAAAATCTTTTCACAAAAACAATTATTTAAAACCATGTTTAAAGTTTAATCTACATCATTTACAACATGCATAGCAATGAAAAATGATATGCCTAAATGATTTCTGCAAATATTGACACTAAATAAAAAAATGCCTTCTCATTGTTGGACCTTTCTCTAATAAGACACAATGGGGATCTGTCAAACAAAACATTTGGAAAATGAGTGCTTTTCTATAACTACATTTGTTAGGGTTTGCCATCATATCCTATCAACAGATTTTACATACGTAGGAATAGAACAGTGTTACTGGAATACTACAGAGTGCTATCGAAATTATACACCTTTATTTTCATAAATAGCATGAAATATTATTGAATATATCTGTCGTCTCACTTTATGCCAGCAGATCTGAATGGGTACTTTTGAAAATTTAATTAATTTAGATTTTTAAGCACATTGTTTTTCTTTTTCTTATTGGTTCTTTTTAGTTATATAAGACAGCAGAATTTATTTTGATATAATTATACAAGCATGGAATATATCTTATTCTAGTTAGAGTTCCATTCTTATGGATGTACATCATGGTGGGATTCACTGTGTTGTTTTCATATATGTACACGGGAAAAGTATGTCAGATTCATTCCACTGTCTTTCCTTTGCTTATCCCCTCTCTCCCTTTCTTCCATTCCCCAATGTCTAATAATCTACTGCACTTCTATTCTTCCCTTCACCCACCACTGCTTATTGTGGATTAGCTTCCACCTATCAGGGAAAACATTTGACCTTTAATAAACTTAGCATGATAAGTCTCCAGATCCATCCATTTGTTGGCAAATGTCATAAAGTCATTCTTCTATCATAGAACACCTAGGTTGGTTCCATGGCTTAGCTATTGTTAAATGAGCTGCTATAAACATTGATGTGGATGTGCCACTGTAGTATGCTATTTTTACTCCTCATACTGAGGAGTGGGCTAACTGGGTCAAATGCTGGTTCCATTCCAAGTTTTTTGAGGACTCTCCATACTGCTTTCCAGAGTGGTTACACCATTTGCAGTCCCACCAGCAATTTGTAAGTGTATATTTATCCCCACATCCTTACCAACATTTATTGTTACTTATATGTATTCTTGATAAATTTAGAAGGAGGGGAAGAGACACATATTCTCTGAAGTAGGGAAGAGGTCACTAAAGATGCAGTGCAAAGGTGGCCATCTATAAGCCAGGAAGAGAAGACTAGAAACCAATCCTGTTGATATCTTGATCTAGCCTTCATAACTATGTGCATACAAATTTCTGTTGTTTAATCCACCTGCAAGTTTGTGGTATTCTGTTAAGGCAGCATTAGTAGTATTTAAATGAAGTAATTAAAATGAAGTCAAGATGAGTGAGAATAGAAAGGTTAGAAATTACAAGAATAAAACCAAATGAAGTTCACACTTTCAGCTTTATCTCCAAGGAAATGATGTTTTGAAGTAAAAGCTCCAGTGTCTGTGGAAGCCAGGGTGATAAGGTGAACAAGGGAAGCCAAGGACAATACTAATAGCAATAACAATACAGCGGACTATGGCAAACTGGAGAGTGGATGACCCATCTAAAGGGGAAAGTCCACTATTTCAGCTCCAGCGATGGATGTCATGAGAAAATGTGGAATTGTGGTCTAGAATTTTAAATTATTTTCAAGGGAAGTCATAAATCTGCATTTTTTTTTAAAGAGAGAGAGAGAGAGAGAGAGAGAGAGAGAGAGAGAGAGAGAGAAAGGGAGAGAGAGAGAATTTTTTAAAAAATATTTATTCTTTAGATTTCCGCAGACACAACATCTTTGTTTGTATGTGGTGCTGAGGATCGAACCTGGGCCGCACGCATGCCAGGTGAGCGCGCCACCGCTTGAGCCACATCCCCAGCCCATAAATCTGCATTTCTTACAGGTAAAAACTTTCTATATTTGGAAGAATGATAAAGTTACACACACACACAAACACACAAGGACTCAACTAAAGATATCAGGACTATATCTGGCTCACAGCTCTGCTTCTGGTCTATGTATGTTCTAGGTGCATACATTTGCTGGCCTGAGGGTGTGCCGTGAACTTCTACATTTTTGTGTCTTAGTTCTTGCTATCTTTCTGATTTCTATGTTGTTCTTTTCTTGTTCACCCCATCTCTATATGGTCATAGAGCCTTAAAAAGCTGCCATCCATTTTTCATTTTACCTAACCACAGAAGAAAATCAGACGGTAGTAACCCTATTCTCCTTTCATCTCCCCCAATCAATCAAACAGCTGCCTTGCAAAAACATACAACATCTGGCCTTTTGCTGAAAGCCAAAATGGAGGAACAGGGACCAGATTCATCTTTCACCTAAAACAACATTAAAAACTAATCAAAATATAAGAAACAATAATTTTCAAGACATTGACTCACAAGCATTTAAGGACAATGATCCTCAAGAGAAGGAAAATGAACATGAAAAGCATATAGCTTGGTGTCTTGAGAATTTCCAGGTAAGGCCGTAGGAAGGAGACTCCCTGAATGATAGGAGACTCTGGAGAGTTCAAGTTGGCTAGAGTTCACAGAATGACAGAAAAGGAGAGAGAGAGAGAGAGAGAGAGAGAGAGAGAGAGAGAGAGAGAGAGAGAGAGAGAGAGAGAACGAGAATGTCATGGTGAGAGAACCTGAAGATCTGCAAAGGTTCCTCCTCATGTACTCAGCAGAGTACTAACAAGCACATGCACTACTCGAGGAACAGTGCCTATCCCCACTAGCAATGAACAGAAGCTCTTCCTGAGAAAGCCCAGACATTGGACATACAGGAGTAAAACCTAAAATTTTCAAAGAACTAAAGCAAATCATTTCTAAAGAATGAAATGAAAGTATGAGAAAAATGTCATATTAAATAGAAAATATTAGTAAAGAAGAAGTAATACTAAATCTACACAAATTCTTCCATAAAACTGAAAAACTGGGAATTCTTTCCAACTCATTCCAGGAGGCCAGTATTATCCTGTTACCAAAAGTAGACTAAGACATTACAAGAAAACTGCAGATCCCCGTTTCTCATGAACAAAATGCATGTAATTCTAAATAAAATTTTAGCAAATCAATCCAACAATTTATAAAAAGGATAATATACCACTATTGAGTAGAATTTGTCCCACAAATGGAAGATTGGTTATCAGTGTTTGGAAAAATTAATGTATTTCACTATATTAACAAATTTTTAAAAATCATATGGTTATAGCTGTCCAAATCTCAAATGGGATCTGCAAATGCTAAAGTCCCTTATATAAAATGATGACTTTTGCATATAACCTATGCACATCCTACTTTAAACCATCTCTAGATTATTTACAGCAACTATTACAATAGAAATGCTATGCAGTCCTTACACTATGTTGTATAGGGAATAATGAGAAGAAAATAGTCTATACATTTCCAGTACAGATGTAATTTTTTCGCTCAAATACTTTTGATCTGTGGATGACTGCATCCCACAGATGTGGAATCAGCAGATACAAAAATGGGTACAGTGGGCAGACTATACTTAACAGATGTAGAAAAAGCATTTGACAAAAATCTAACATCTGTTCCTGCTAAAAACTGGCAACGAACTAATAAATAAATAAAACTACTTGATAAAAGGTATTTTTAAAAGATATGACAACATTATCCTTTAAATGATGAGACTGAATGCTTTTCCTACTCAATTTCCATAAGATCAGGAACAAGAATGTGTACTCTTATCATTTCTAGTCATACTAGAATTTAATCATACTAGAACTTCATACTAGAATTTAATCAGTATAATCAGCAAGAAAAAGAAAAGACAAGTTGTTTTAATATCACTAATCTTTGGGCAAAAGATGTGAACAGACATTTGGTCAAAGATATATATATATGGAAGATAAGTGCATAAAACAATGTGCAACATCATTAGTTGTTAGGGATATGCAAATTCAAACCACAATGAGATACATCTATAAATTAGAATGGGTAAAATTACAAAGACTGGCTATACCAAGTATTACTGAGGAAGTAGAACTCTCATATATACTGGTAGAACTGTAAAATAGTACAATCATTTAAAAAACATATTTGGAAAACAATATAGTAGTTTATTAAAAATTTAAATATAAAACAATTATATGATCCAGCTGTTCCATTCCTACATATTTTACCCAACAAAACTGAAAGCATGTATTCACAAAAAGACTTAAA